CCCACATGTGCACGCACATTTGTACCCACCACAGACCGAGCATGAGTTCTGGGAGGGGCTGTGGACGCCCTCAACCCTCCTCTCCTTACAGCCACCTGCCCCAAGACATGGGCCCTAGGGAAGGACAGACAGTGTGAGGTCTCTTACTACTAGTCCAAACCAAACAAGACAAAGTGCTTTGGTTTTCACCCCTTTCTGGGGCCAATCTAAGATATGTTGGGCGTAGCTCCCTGCCCAGGGAAAATATATTAAATAAAACCATCATGCCTTTTGAGGATTCATTTTCATCCATGTCCTGGGTACATAACCAGCTCCGACCAGAGCCCAGAGGGGCCAGGAAGTCACGTCAACAGCACAGCGGGAGGGCGCCGGGTCTTTAAACACACTCAGCTCGCACAGGCCAAATGCAGGAATATTCTTCACGTCCACAAATGAGTTGGTTCTGCCCTGTTTTTCTTGAAACATTTAGTTTTCAATCCTAACTCTGCCTTTCCCACTTGTGATGGAGATATGAGTTCAAGACACACTGTACTACTCTTTTAACTCCACCAAAGACAAAAGGGACAGCTACCCAGGTGAGGATCGAGTCCCACCTACGGCGCCCCCACTACTCCACTGCTGTAACAGCCTGCGCTCGTAGAGCACCTTCTAGGTACCAGGCACTGCGTTAAGCCCTTGCCGTGCAATATGTCGCTAAACCCTCCAAACAGCCCTTTGAAATAGCCACTGATGTTCTGCCTGTTTTAAGGTAGAAACATTGAGATGCAGAAGGTTGAAGCAACTCGTGCCGATTTACACAGCCAGTTGGTGATGACACAGAATCGGGAACAAGGCTGTTTGCGCCCCGGGCCTAAACAAGGCTGGTGACCAGTGAGGACCAGCAAGTCTTTACTATCGAGGAGAGGAAGAGTCTGGTCCCCCAGGTAGGGCCGGGCAGGGGACACAGATAGGTGATGTCAGAGTTGCCACCGTGGGCTGGCTCTGCTGTTGGCTGTCTCCCGACTTCTCGGAGCCTTTTAGAAGTGTCTGATGTGGGCGCTCCTGCCTCTTGGGCTCCTGAGTTTGCTCGTCCTTCCTGGGATGGGAGCAGTCGTGGTTTTGGGAGCTCCAGATGGGGCGGCAGATGGGAAGTGAAAACCTATCAGAGTTGCCCAGGATAAAACCATTCATCTGCAAAATTCATACGTTTTTGTGTGGGGCGACTTCGTGGAAACAACGGCAAGAGGCAGCAGCAGTGCTTGATGCGTAAAGTGCCTGCGGCTGCGGGACTGGCGCGGCAGAGTGGGCAGCACGGGCAGGGGCGGCGCATGGAAGTGAGAGCAGTGAGGCAGAGGGAGACGGAGTGACCCGGCGCATCAAAACAAAAAACGCTGTGTACAAGATGACTCCCTTCCCTGAACCCCAAAATAGGTTGGGCACACCGTCTGAGAAGCGATTTCTGAGATACGAGATGCAACCTTGGATGCAGCTTAGACATAAACAGTCGACACTTACTGAGCACCTTCCAAGCACCCGGCAGGCTGCTAGGTTCTATTATGATACTCCAATTTCACAGAGATTGCGTTTGCTGCCCCCCTGGTTGCACGGCTAGCTAAGTTGCAGCACCGAGATTCGAACCCTACGCAGTCTGAGGGAGTCTGTGCACTCACCCTCTTGGATGCTGAGCAGAGCTGGCCTCTTCAGGTTAAGTGGCCACAGGTATGGCTTTGACGTGCCAATCAACACAACACACAGGGCCTCTCGGTGGTACCGATGGGCACAGCTACCTGGCCTCAAGAGGTCTCTGTCCCAGCGCTGCCCTGACCTGGGCTGACATGACCTCTGAGGCCGCCTCACTGCGAGTGTGGGCAAGCAAGAGTGTGGGAACTTTGAGCACAGCTCCTCAGACTTGGGGACAAGTGGCCTCCAAGTACCTTCCCTCAGCATTCCCTACAGCAAGCCGGTCTAACCACTACCCCACCCAGTCACAAGCTCAAGGCGTGGGAGTGTTTCCTTCTGTGCTTTCTAGCCAGCTTGGGGCCATCTCACCAGTGTGGGCCTGCCAACATCGCAAGAAAGAAGACCAGCTTTGGAACCAGACAGAGCTGGTTCTAATCCCTGCTCTGCCACAGACTCATCCCATGACCTTGGGCCTCAGTCTGCCCATCTGTAAAACAGGTTTGCTGTGAGGATGGAAGGAAGCGCCTGCCACGTTAGCTGCCGTGCTCAGCATTTTGGGACATTTCTGAACTCGGTCCTTTCATGGAAGATGGAGGAAGAATGTTCTAACCTCTTCTCGCTCCGTACTTGTCTAAACTCACCTCTTTTCATTCTTTTATTGTACTCTGTCCATTTTAAAAATTTCACAAACGCAACAAGTTCATTTCTGACCCACATTGCGCTCAGGCTGGTCCCGCTATGAGACATGGCAGTTCTCAAGTGGAGATGATTTTGGCCCCCAGGGGACATCAGCAATGTCTGGCGACATTTGTGGTTGGTACGAGTGGATGGTGGGGGGATGCTCCTGGCACCTAGGGGGTAGAGGCCAGAGATGCTGCTCAACATCCCACAGTGCACAGGAGAGTTGCCCACAGCCAGGAAATATCTATCCCCAAATATCAATAGTGCCATGGCTGGGAACTCCAGGTCTAGAATGATCTTCTCTTTCTGGTTTCCCTGCAAATTGGTGCCTTCTTTCTTTCAGGTCTCAACTTAGAATATTCAGGGGCCTTTCTGACCCCCGCCCATGCCCCTGCTGTTCTTCTCTACTCCTGCACCTTCCTTTCTTTACAGCCCTTTCACTTCCTGCATGAGGGCTCTCCTGCACGATTATCTAACTTCATCTTCTCAGCCCAGGTGTGTGCTCCGTGAGCAGGGGAGAAGTGGAAGAAGCTGCATTGCTTTCGTTCATGAAATGCACTATTTGGTGCACAGCACAGTAGTTGCTCAATAAATGTTTGTTGGATGAGTGAATAAATCACTGTAACGATTAATAAAAATTTGCCTGCAATGTTCTATAACCAATCCCTTTTATCCCTGCTCTCCTATGAACAGAAGAAAACAGGTGTCTTTCTAGCATCCGTCATTTTTCTCAGGTTCGAAGGTGTCAGGTATATCTTGTCCAAACTGATCAGAGACTGCGCCTCCCTGCCCCACCACAGGGTCCAGGGTCTCTCAGCAGAGGATGGGATGCCCCCCAGCCTGGGACTGACGTCAGGCACCAAGGACCATGCTGCGAAGGAGGACGAAGCCATTTCTGGCTTTATAGACAGGTCTTCCTCCCACGCCTCTGTCCAAAACCTAAACTCCTGGGAATATGTGGCCTGGGTATTTGATGACATTAAGAATTGCCTGTTAATATTTTCAGTGTAATCATTATATCGATGACACGGTAAAAGAGAGAAACTTTATCTTTTTGACATATATATTGAAACATTTCAATATATATAATATTGTATATTATTTTTATAGACCTATTAGATATAATTATAGGGTATCTTAGATTTGTTTCAAAATAAAGCAGGGGTGGGGGAAGAAAGTCCAGATACTAGACTGGCTCTGAACTGACCCAGGCGACGCACACACGAGGGCTCATTGTGCTATTCTTGATATTCCTGAGCACGTTTGGAAACAGCCCTAATGAAAGCTTGTTTCTTATAAGAAGCCATCATCTAGCTGTCCTAGGAATGCTGTGCCCAACGCTCTCGTGCCATCGCCTCCGCCCCCACCCCCTGCCCTTCCTTCCCTTGTCAACAAATCAGGACGACGACACAGTCAGAGTCAGGGCTGTCCCCTCCATAGGAAACAGAGTTCACCTTCTTTCTTTCTTTTTTTTTTTTTTTTTCCTTACAGGATGGATCTTTAGCGGGTTTTCTTTGCTACGGTCTGTTTTAAAGAGCTGAAAGTCAATGTCCACGCAAAGGGACAGGCCTTCCCGGTGGCATGTGAAGGTTGCCACCGCTTGTGTTTCCCGCCACCCTGGGGCTGCTGGCTGCGCTGCCAGCTGCAGACAAGGGTGCCTGGACAGGCCGCGGGACCGGGCGGGCAGACGTCCCAAAGCAGCCAGAAATCTGTAGTTTCAGAGGCGCTCTCTCGATTTTAAAATGTGGGCAACTGACTCATTTGTTGAAATGTGAAAGCGGCCAAACAGACACACCCCCGGGACCCACATGCCGTGAAGACGCCCGTTTGTGATCCTGCCTGCGCCGCCACCAACGCGCCCTCCCTTCTTCCACTCTGCCCCCTTTCAGCTTAACGTTGAAGTCAGACTTCATCCTTCCTCAGCTCAAAACATGCTGGTGGCTTCCATCGTGCTCAGAGTAACAGCCAAATTCTAGAATCTCCATGATCTAGCCCCAGTTTACTCTCTGACCTTATGTCTCTTGTTTCTCTGTAGGCAAAGAAAGTGACTCACTCTTTCATCATCTTCCAGTCTCATCCGTGAGGACCTTCCTGGCCACCCTTGTCAAAACATTAATAGCAACTCTCTCCTACTTCTGCTCTTTGCTTTATTTTTACAACATACCATTGTACTTCTTTTTGTTGTTGTTTGTCTCCTTTCCTTTTTTTTTTTGTTTTTCTAGAGATGGGGTCTTGCTATGTTGCCCAGGCTGGCCTCACATTTCTGGCCTCCAGTGATTCTTCCACCTCAGCCTCCCAAAGTGCTGGGATTACAGGTGTGAGCCACCCTGCCTGGCCTGTCTCCCTACCTGAATGGAAGCCCCATGTGGGCAGGGGTTTCAGTCTCTTTAGTGCACTGGAACATCCTTGAACAGAGCTAGGAAAACCATGTGCTCAATAAATCTCTGTTGAATGAGTGAATGAATGAATGAATGAATGTATAAATGATTCTCAGGCCCAACCTGAATCCTATGCTGAGAGATTTTATGGAGACTCTGCTTCTCGAGGAAGCAGAAAGCATCTCTGGATAGGAAGCAGATGCCTGCCTTCTGTTTTCCCAGCTACAATGAAGGGCAGCAGGACCTTACGCTGGGCTGGCCTGGGGCCACTGGCCGCCTTACCTGATGGGGTAGTCGGCTGCACTGAGGTTGATGAAGAAGTCCCAGGGCCAGTCGGTCATCTCTAGGAGGTCCCGCATGCTCTGCAGGTAGGTGGACAGGAGGCTGGCTCCCCCCCAGATGGTGGCCATCCTCCAGGGGGTGACGCGGACGTTGCCGTACTGCCTGGCGAACTGGAGCACTTGCCGATGCAGGTAATTAGAGCGCTTTTCCCAGGAGAGAAAGGGTGACATTCAGCAGCCCAGAAAACACCCAGACATGCGCCCCACCCCGCTTCCCCTCCCTGTGCCTTCTCTTCTAGTCAATAGTACTTCTGAGCAGAGTGAACTTTGCCGAGTAACCGATTCTGGCCTAGGGTGTCTTTCTGCATTGCTATCCGAACTTGTATTATTTTAAAAATTTCACATTAGATGTTTGAAAGGCACATTCCCTGGACCCACCTCTGAACTAATAGTTCACTAGGCTTGGGCTGGTGGTGCCTGGGACCCTGCATTTTTATATATGGCAGATTCACATGGCCTGAGGATAACAAGCTAAGAAATAAACCTGGTATGCATTTTGGGGGTGGAGTTTCTGTTTTGGGTCAGACCTTCCCCTTTGCCTTCTTGACTAAAGATATAATCACATCACATCAGCCAACCAACAGAAACCTCTGGGACGAGACAGCACAGGAGTTAGCAAGGCTGCCGCAGGTTTTGTTAATAAAGTTTTATTGGCACAAAGCTGCGCCCATTTGTTGACATGGCCTCTGTGGCTGCTTTTGCACTACAAGGGCAGCGCTGCGTAGCTGCGACAGACAGCGTCTGGCCCGCAAAACCTAAAACGTTTACTCTCTGGCCTTTTATAGAAAACGCGTGCCAGCTCCTGGGGTGGGTATTCCCACAGGGTATGTGAGTGCCAGGCGGAAGGCACTGGGCAGCGAATAGGTAAGAAAAACAGTGTTTATGGAGAAAGTTGAAAGTCACAGCTGGAAACTTTGAAACCAACACACACACACACACACGCACACGCACACGCACGGCACCTCAAGACCACACGCTCCGAGCAAAGGCAGCTGGGCATCTTCCGCACCTTCTCCGAAAGGGAGGCAGCCTGGAGTAGTGATGGAGGAGGAGGGTGTCGGAGAGGGAAAGACAGGCCTTGGAGGAAGCCCGGCGTGGGCTGATCGGAGGAGGCGCCTCACCTTGTCCACGTGGATGTAGTAGAAGTGGTCTTTGTGGTAGACGGCCTTGAACATGCGCTGCAGCTGCCGAGAGGCACGGCCGTGGACCACCAGGACGAAGGCGATTCTGACTGGGTCAGCCGGCATGTACTCCACGGAGTCCTCGTCCCACTGGACGTTCTTGTTGGCTTTGCCTGGGGGAAAACCCGAGAGACCACAGAGGTGAGGGCGAGCCATCCTTTGGAGAGTGGGTGTTTCTCTGACGCTTTTTTTTTTTTTTTTTTGAGACAGGGTCTCGCTCTGCAGTGGCATCATCACAGCTCACAGCAACCTCAAACTCCTGAGTTTGAGCAATGTTCCTGCCTCAGACTCCTGAGTAGCTGGGACTACAGGCATGTGCTGCTTTGCCCAGTTAATTTTTTCTATTTTTTTGTAGAGACAGGGTCTCACCATGTTGCTGAGGCTGGTCTTGAACTCCTGGCCTTAAGCGATCCTCCCACCTTGGCCTCCCAAAGTGCTACAATTACAGGTTTGAGCCACCATGCTTGGCCTCTGATACTTTTTCTGGGACTATTTATGGGGTGTGGCTGTCATATTGGGCCCTGGAACTTGGTTCCACTTAACCAAGCATGTCCTAGGCCCTCACACTGCCCAGGCACAAAAGGGGTAGGGGCTACTGGGTGCTTTTAGTTTCCACCCCCTAAAAGCTCAAAAAGGCTGGTGGAGACACATGAACACTTATTAAACTATCGAGAAGGCAGGAGGGGGTGAGAGCCAGAAGAGATGTATCTTCAAACCGTAGAGGAAGAAGCAGTTAATTCTAAGTTAGGAAATATAAGATACACGTGCCGTTTTTGCCAGTCCATCATCCACTCTCCCTTCTTCTCCTGACAGCTTCTAAGACACTAGTTTGAGCTGTGGTACGAACAGATAACATGAGATCTACCCTCTGCACTAAGGTGTGAGTGTGCAGTATAGCACCGTTACGTACAAGCACAACCTCATACAGCAGATCTCGAGAACTTACTCGTCTTGCGTAACTGAAACTCTGTCATCCAACACCTTTTGAGGCGTCATCCCCTTCTCCTCCACTTTCGGCCCACATGCACGTGGAGAATCGAACTCCACATCTATTCCAGGGGTGGTCACATAGCTTAGGTGTGGCCAGTCCGAACACTGTCTCTCCCTGGCCACAGCATTGTTCAGAGACAGACATGTGACCCAACCATGCTAATTAGCCAGAAAGAACTCCAGACTTCCGTTGTCACTACTAGATAAGAGAGGTTCTTTCTGTTTGACACAAGACTGGAAGATTCTAAGAGCCTTTCTGTTCCCACATGGGGAGGGCTGTCTGGGATGAAAACCAACACCACGGGCAGCACGGCCAGGTGGCGGTGCGGGTCCAGGTCCTAATGACCCGGCTTGAGCCCCCGGACTGGCGAGGCGGGCTGGAGATGAGCCGCCATCATACATCATTTTCCAGGAATGAAGCCAGACCCTGCACCAGGTGTGCCTGCGTAACTGGTTCCAGACATCTTTTATCCTGAAATCAGCCTCAAAGATTCCTCTCTTTCTGCCCTTGCAAATACTCCAGGGACCAGGCATGGGGGAGAAACACAACTTCCTGGTTTAGGTCATTGTAATTCCAGCTAGAATTCTCCTGGCTTTCCTTAGCCTGATTTCCTTTGGGTCTAACCCGATTTCTTATGGGTTCTAGGTTTACGGGACCCAGAACATTGTTAGGGTTTAGCGGCAGGTGTCCCAGAATGTCAACGGGGAAAGTTGGGAATTGAGCCTGTGTAGCCTGGACATCCGGGGTCTCTCGGTTGTTCTCAGAAGGCTGAACGGCTGCCCAACGAACAAGGCTCCTTCTATGTTGTTCCAGAGGACAGGGCGAGATTAACGTGGATAATGTTCAAATCGCACCGCACAGCCTCTGTGGCCGTTGTGATCTGACTCCTCAGACCTCTCTGCCCTGGACTGGTCCCCTCTCCACCTCCACCCTGGCCTTCTTTCTGTTCCCTGAACAAGCTCATTTCTGCCCCAGGACCTTTCGCTGGCTGGTCCTGCAGCCTCTCACACCCTCCCCCTAGATCTCAGCATGGCTGCATCTTATTGGTACTAGTTGACAATCCAAAAAAAGGCCTCCTGCCCCTCACCCACCGTATCTTTCATTCTCTTTCACCTTGCCCTATTTCAATTTAACACTGTCTAAAATTGTCTATCTGTTCACTTGTTTACCGTCTGAACGTTCCACTACAACACAAGCTCCAAGACACGAGGGACTACTTCAGTCTTGTCATCAAATGTGCAACACTTGAACAGTATCTGGCATACATCTGGGTTCTTGGTGAAAAAAAAGTTACAGGATTGTACGTTTTGGCTCAGTACAATGACAGTATCTTTTATTGAGCATGGATCAGCCCTTGACATTCATGGTATCATTTAATCCTCATAACGGCGCCACAAGGTAGTGCCATTGTCCCCATTTTCCAAATGCGGAAACCACAGCTTAGAGAGCCCAAGGGATTGGTTCAGGGTTGCACCATTTTAATCAGTTAAGCTGAGATTCAAGCCAGGTCTGATTCCAAAGACCATATTCCATAACCACGAATATATACTACATTATCATACCTAGAGTTTGGAAGGAAAAGTTTATAACAATTATGCTTGTTGCTAGTGAAATATCTTACAAGTTAGTTACTATAGGCAAGTAGGCATGCATTTAAGGACTGCCATAGGTATTGTAGGTATTTCTGTATTGCATGAGAGGCTGACTCTAGGTGATCAATAAGGCTACATCTTTACATCCAACCATCCATCCATTTATCCACCCATCCATTCATCCAAATCCAACCACTCATCCATCCAATCATACAGCAAACCATCCAACTAGCCATCCCGCACAGCAAGCAGCAGCCTATCATCCCAAACACCACCATCCATCCATTCAAGGCTCATGGCACCTGTGGGACCAACCCTTGCGTTTGCCTGCAGCCGCGGATGTCTCTTGCCGTGGTTGTGGGATGAGCACATGCATGAACGCATTCTCAAGAGTGGCCGCCCCGGTCCGGAGGAGCTGATGTTTGCTGAGCACCTGCTACGTCTCTACGCTGTGGATGCCCTGGGCTCTGCATCCGTCACTATCTGGCCCTGGGAAGAATGCATTATCCTCTGAGGCTCAGAGAGGTGGGCATGTTTCCCAGGTCACACAGTGAGTGAGGACAGAGGTGGGAGGGGAAACCAAGCGTTGCTGAGTCCAAACTAGCCCTGCTATTTCCACCCACCCTCTGCCAAAGCAAGGAGTCGGGAGATAGAGAGGGCTGGTGTGAAGACTCTACGCTGACCTTTAAAAGGCACTTGGACACTGACATTGAGAAAAGCCTCTTGTAATTTCTCTTCGGGGTGTTAGAAAGCTGTGCAGATTTACAGACAGACAGACAGACACACAGACAGGGACATGGAGGCTTTTCTTTTGGAGAAAGGGAGGGAGTCCTAGGAAATCGCTCCAGCAAAAGAGCTTGCTTGGCTTAAATATAAAGTCATCCTTGGGTCAGGCGGTTAGTCTGGGGAGCTGCAAAGAGAATGGGGAACAAAAAACCCAGAGTTCTTCTGGAGGACAGCTATTTTGAGGATGGGGTGGGTGGGAAGGAACAAAACTGTGTAAAGAAAGGAGACACACAGACGGGGAGAGATGGAGATGGGGAGGAGAGGGCGGGCCGGGGGACAGAGATCAGCCTGCTGCGTGGCAAGCGATTTCTGTGCGTGATCTTATTTACTTCCATCTCAACCTCTATGAGAAGGGAGCTATTATCTCCCTATTGTAAGGATGAGGACGCGGAGGCTCAGAGAGGTCCCCGGTAAGAAGCGGCTGAGCTGAGAATGGATGAGTCTGTGACCCCAGAGCCCTGTCACTGTCACTTTGCTCCATCAAACTATCCCCATTTCATAAAGAGGAAAGTCTGTTCCTAGACGTGTGTCAGCTGACTTTCAGCTGCAGGACAAATGACAATGCTGTGTGGCCAGAGCTTCGTGGGTCTTTACGAACATGGAGCTCTTTGAAAGACCAAAACTCAAACACGGCCTAGCTCCTGTATATATATATATTAAAAACCTATGAATTTAACAATATGATCAGATTCCCATGGCACAAAACACAAATAAGTGGAAAAATCAGAGTGATTATAGGCAGGAGAGGCTGACTTCAGACGAATGTTAAAAGCCAGGTTTACAGGGAGAATATCAAGTGTCTTTTTGCAGTGCAGGTGTGAAGGCTGCGGGTGGAGCCACGGAGGGCCCCGCCGCTAACTAGCTGTGTGACGCCAGGCCCGCTCCTCAAACTCAGTATTTCTCAACATCGTCGTGAATCGAGCGAGGACTATGTCATCCTCAGGCTCCAAAGAGATAGTGGAGGTGATGGTGCTTTGCAAGCATCAATGTGCTGCACAAATGTCGTGATATTGGTGACGACGTGGATGTGGTACCTTGTAGGGATATGATCTGGGAGGAGAAAGTAGGGTGCAGGGTTTAGAGTGAAGTCTGTGGTCAGGCAGACCCTGGACCGGTTATGCAATCTCTCCAAGCCTTAGTTTTCTCATTTGTAAAATGGGTATGTAGAAAAAAGGAATCTGTCTCACACGGGTGTTCATGGGCAGTACTGAGCACAGTGCCTGGCATGTAGTAAATGCTCAGTAAACTTGACTGTCATCATCACCATTCTTATTAAGCTGTTCATCCCCAGTGATCGGGGGTCAAGTTTGGTTTAAACACCAGTCCAGCTCCAGGTTTCTACCCCAAGGCTGCACCGGCTCCCAGGGCCATGTATACGCCGGAACCCGCTGCTTGCAAATAAACATCCACAACCGGAGTTTCTCACTGTAGCATTTGCCCAGACCACGATTCATAACAAATGCAAAGGAGCTGCTCGACTGGAATCGTTATTCCACCAACAAAGCCCTCGATTCTATTTATGCTCTGAAAGGGCCTCTTCCGGCTGCTCCAAGGGCACTTTCTGACTTGCTTCCAAATTAGAGGGTTGGTTGGGTCTTGGGAACATAGGGGAGTGGAAACGGGGTTGTATGCAAATGGGGCGTGGGTTAGGAAGCTCCCAGCTGGGGTGCGGCCAGTTCCGTGCTGCCTGGGATGGCGCAGGTGCCGGGATTCAGGGGGGCTACGTGTAGCCCTCCACTGCAGG